CAACATGGGGCGGGAGCAGAATAGTGCCAACACTGGCATTCAACTGAGCGTTTTTCGAGACCCGAACAGGGGTCTCGCCAAGGCAGGATAAGGCAGCCAAGCGGGAAGCAGCATCTTGAGAAGGAGCAGCAACGACACGTGTACCGAGACGAGCGGGGTTGAAAGTAATGGAGGCATCCACGGAATCAACGAGATGTCGATGGAGGGAGAAATCGTCAGGAGGCGCAGAATCAAGAGGGAGATCAAAATATTTGGCCCACGAAGTGGGACCAAACAAGGCTTGATAGGTAGCAGAACTGAAAGGAATCGAGCGAGGGCGGCCGTGACGAGGACGGCGGTGAAAACCCCAGAGAAAGGGGGGTTAAAAGGCGCAGTGGTTACAACTAGAGAAGGAGCCGCACCAGGGGACGAGGTAGTCACCACTGGGGGCTTGGGGCTCGACCCAACCAGAGGAGGGAGGGGAGCCAGGGGAAGGAGTCAGAGAGGCCAAAGGAGGAGCAAGGTCGGGGCCCAATGCAGCGGAGGCTACAGAGCCCGGTCTTCCAACACCGATTGACTCGGGAGCTTGGTCGCCCACCCCACGAGCCTGAGAAGGTAAACCAGAAACAGCCGAAACAGGGGTCATCATCATTACGAAAAGAAAAATTCATTCACGAATGTGCCCCCACACCCACCATGGAGCCACAATTAGAGGCCGGACACCCAACAAGAAGCTATCGCCGATCTTGCCGGGGCCTCCTAGGGGTGCGTCGTGAGTATACGCCCCACAAACGCCACCTTAAGAAACCGACAATCCGTCGAGATCTGGTTCAGTGACGAAAGGGGGATTGACAATAAAAGGTTTCCCTCGCTCTCGACGTCGGAGTACTACAGTTCTACGGATGCAAGAGTATGCCTCCTCAAGCACCCGGGCGTCAAAATAGAAGAAGTCCATGGGAAGAACCAGAACGAGCAAAAGGTCGGCAGGAAACGGCAAGCAGATAGGAGAAGAGGGGGGAGAAAAACGAAACAGAAGGAAAAGAAAAAGGTGCCCAGCAGAATTGGAGAGGACGGCACCAGGAGCACAAGGCTAGAAAAGGACAGAGGACTGTCCCAAGGAGCATCACACTCCGGCAGCCGCCCACTAAGCCCCCACACGGCAACAACGAGCTGAGCGGGGAGGGGGCAGGGAGCCACAAAGGGCCCCCATATATACCTACAGGGAGCCACCAAGGGGCCCCCATATATACCTACAGGGAGCCACCAAGGGACCCCCATATATACCTACAGGAGCCACCAAGGGGGGGCCCCATATATACCTAAAGGAGCCACCAAGGGACCCCCATATATACCTGCAGGGAGCCACCAAGAGGCCCCATATATACCTACAGGAGCCGCCAAGGGGCCCCCATATATACCAACAGGAAGCCACCAAGGGGCCCCCATATATACCTACAGGAGCCACCAAGGGGCCCTCATATATACCTACAGGAAGCCACCACGGGGCCCCCATATATACCAACCAGGAGCCACCAAGGAGGCCCCCATATGTACCTACAGGAGCCACCAAGAGCCCCAATATATATACCTACAAGAGCCACCAAGGGGCCCCCATATATACCAGCAGAGAGCCACCAAGGGGGGCCCAATATATACCTACAGGAGCCACCAAGGGCCCCCATATATATCTACAGGAGCCACCAAGGGGGCCCCCATATGTACCTACAGGAGCCACCAAGTGGCCCCATATATACCTACAGGAGCCACCAAGGGGGCCCCCATATATACCTACAGGAGCCACCAAGGGGGGCCCCCATATATACCAACCAGGAGCCACCAAGGGGGCCCCCATATGTACCTACAGGAGCCACCAAGTGGCCCATATATACCTACAGGAGCCACCAAGGGGGCCCCCATATATACCTACAGGAGCCACCAAGGGGGCCCCCTTATATATCTACAGGAGCCACCAAGGGGGCCCCCATATGTACCTACAGGAGCCACCAAGTGGCCCCATATATACCTACAGGAGCCACCAAGGGGACCCCCATATATACCTACAGGAGCCACCAAGGGGGCCCCCATATATACCAACCAGGAGCCACCAAGGGGGCCCCCATATGTACCTACAGGAGCCACCATGGGGCCCCATATATATACCTACAGTTAGCCACCAAGGGCCCCCATATATACCTACAGGGAGCCACCAAGGGCCCCCATATATACCTGCAGGAAGCCACCAAGGGACCCTCATATATACCTACAGGGAGCCACCAAAGAGACCCCATATATACCTACAGGGAGCCACCAAGGGGCCCTCATATATACCTACAGGGAGCCACCAAAGAGGTCCCATATATACCTATAGAGAGCCACCAAGGGGCCCTCATATATACCTTCAGGGAGCCACCAAGGGGCCCTCATATATACCTACAGGGAGCCACCAAATGGGCCCCCATATATACCTACAGGGAGCCACCAAGGGGCCCCATATATACCTACAGGGAGCCACCACGGGGCCCCATATATAGCTACAGGAGCCACCAAGGGGGCCCCCATATGTACCTACAGGAGCCACCAAGGAGCCCCAGATATATACCTACAGAAAGCCACCAAGGGGCCCCATATATACCTACAGGGAGCCACCAAGGGGCCCCATATATATACCTACAGGGAGCCACCAAGGGCCCTCATATATACCTACAGGGAGCCACCAAGGGCCTCCATATATACTTACAGGGAGCCACCAAGGGGCCCCATATATACCTACAGGGAGCCAACAAGGGGCCCTCATATATACCTACAGGGAGCCACCAAGGGGCCCACATATATACCTACAGGGAGCCACCAAGGGGCCCACATATATACCTACAGGGAGCCACCAAAGGGGCCCCATATATACCTACAGGGAGTCACCAAGGGGCCCTTATATATACCTACAGGGAGCCACCAAGGGGCCGTCATATATACTTACAGGGAGCCACCAAGGGGCCCTGATATATACCTACAGGGTGCCACCAAGGGGCCCTGATATATGCCTACAGGGTGCCACCAAAGAGGCCCCATATATACCTACAGGGAGGCACTAAGGGGCCTCATATATACCTACCGGGAGTCACCAAGGGGCCCTGATATATACCTACAGGGAGCCACCAAGGGGGCCCCATATATACCTACAGGGAGCCACAAAGAGGTTCCATATATACCTAGAGGAAGCCACCATGGGGCCCTCATATATACCTACAGGGATCCACCAAGGGGCCCTCATATATACAAACAGGGAGCCACCAAAGGGGCCCCATATATACCTACAGGGAGCCACCAAGGGGCCCTTATATATACCTACAGGGAGCCACCAAGGGGGCTCCATATATACCTACAGGGAGCCACCAAGGGGCCCTCATATATACCTACAGGGAGCCACCAAGGAGGCCCCATATATACCTACAGGAACCACCAAGAGGCCCTCATATATACCTACAGGGAGCCACCAAGGGGGCCCCATATATACCTACAGGAGCCACTAAGGGGGGCCCCATATACACCAACCAGGTGCCCCCAAGGGGGCCCCCCATATGTACCTACAGGATCCACCAAGGGGCTCCACATATATACCTACTGGAAGCCACCAAGGGGCCCCATATATATACATACAGGGAGCCACCAAGGGCCCCCATATATACCTACAGGGAGCCACCAAGGGGCCCTCATATATATCTACAGGGAACCACCAAAGGGCCCCCATATATACCTACAGGGAGCCACCAAGGGGCCCCCATATATACCTACAGGGAGCCACCAAGGGGCCCTCATATATACCTACAGGGAGCCACCAAGGGGCCCTTATATATACCTACAGGAAGCCACCAAGGGGCCCTCATATATACCTACAGGGAGCCACCAAGGGGCCATCATATATACCTACAGGGAGCCACCAAAGCGGCCCCATATATACCTACAGGGAGCCACCAAGGGGCCCCTCATATATACCTACAGGGAGCCACCAAGGGGCCCTCATATATACCTACAGGGAGCCACCAAGGGGCCCTCATATATACCTACAGGGAGCCACCAAGGGGGCCCCATATATACCTACAGGGAGCCATCAAGGGGCCCCATATATACCTACAGGGAGCCTCCAAGGGGGCCCCATATATATACCAACAGGGAGCCTCCAAGGGGGCCACATATATACCTACAGGGAGCCACCAAGGGGCCCCTCATATATTCCTACAAGAGCCACCAAGGGGCCCCCATATACCTACAGGGAGCCAGCAAGGGGCCCTCATATATACCTACAGGGAGCCACCAAGGCGCCCTCATATATACCTTCAGGGAGCCACCAAGGGGGCCCCCATATATACCTTCAGGGAGCCACCGAGGGGCCCCCCATATATACCTTCAGGGAGCCACCGAGGGGCCCCCATATATACCTTCAGGGAGCCACCGAGGGGCCCCCATATATACCTTCAGGGAGCCACCGAGGGGCCCCCCATATATACCTTCAGGGAGCCACCGAGGGGCCCCCCATATATACCTTCAGGGAGCCACCGAGGGGCCCCCATATATACCTTCAGGGAGCCACCGAGGGGCCCCATATATACCTTCAGGGAGCCACCGAGGGGCCCCCATATATACCTTCAGGGAGCCACCGAGGGGCCCCCATATATACCTTCAGGGAGCCACCGAGGGGCCCCCATATATACCTTCAGGGAGCCACCGAGGGGCCCCCCATATATACCTTCAGGGAGCCACCGAGGGGCCCCCATATATACCTTCAGGGAGCCACCGAGGGGACCCCATATATACCTTCAGGGAGCCACCGAGGGGCCCCCATATATACCTTCAGGGAGCCACCGAGGGGACCCCATATATACCTTCAGGGAGCCACCGAGGGGCCCCCATATATACCTTCAGGGAGCCACCGAGGGGACCCCATATATACCTTCAGGGAGCCACCGAGGGGCCCCCATATATACCTTCAGGGAGCCACCGAGGGGGCCCCATATATATCAACATACCAAAGAGTGTGACGAGAACAGTTGCCAACATTCTGATGCCAGAGGCAAACTGGTTTCCGGAGTTGCTGAAGGCCTTGCCGGGCACCAGGTCCCCGAAGCCGATGGTGGAGAGGGTGATGAAGGTGAAGTAGACGGCCGAGATCATGTCCCATTCCTCCGACTGTCTGAAGAGCAGCCCGCACAGCAGCACGTACACTGTGATCATGACCAGGTTCACCATGATGGGAACCTCCACCTGAGATTGACACGAGGAAATAAAGCTCAGTACATACACCTGGAAAAATTTACCCCCATCAGAGGGTAGTGTTACCCCATCAGAAGGTAGTATTAACCCATCAGAGGGAAGTGTTTGTCGGAAATTTGGACACAATATCTACTACCCCCCGACATACCAGGTTAAAACAGTTATATCAGGTACATACTAACATTTCTAATTTCTCAAAGAGAACGTAATCAGCAACATCCCAAAAGGATGGTGCCACATATGCAGAATCCACTATTCATACATTCGCCTCTCTGATAGTAGCATAAAACTTTTAATATATGAAGACCAAATACGATAACATAGTACTTATTAATAACTACCGCACCTAAATAACCAGCAAATCAAACGTCTCTCCCCACGGTCGGTAATGACGTAATTTGAACCAAGCAGGGTTAGCGTCCCCAGGGGAGAAGAGACGCGGCGACATTAGATGGCAGGATTTGGCAGAAAACACGAGACCTCGAGCGCTTGGCAGAGAAGAAGCTTATACACTATCCCTGTTAATTGCCAAATATAGTCACATTTCCCGAGTTCTTGCATAGGAAAGAAACATTTCCGCTTCACCAACGAACTCATCATACCAGGGAATTGTTATTTCCGAGCAATTGTAGTAGTTTGTTATTGGTCATTATCATGATCGCCTTATCATTGCCCAGTTATTATCATCGGAAACTTAAGATATATACCGTACTATGTGACTCTCTTTTCAGGATTGCCTCGCTGGCCACCAGGGAGTTCCGACGTATCCACCTGTCCTGCCAGTTGTTGCCTGGAGTTGCGAGAGGTAGGGTGCTGTTTGGCGTGTTGCTGCCATGGGGACCCCACTCCCCCCTGTTTTGTGGGCTCAATCCGTGGGCTTAGAGTTTTGTGGACGAACTCGCTATCCTGAGGTGGGGCTCGTGTTGTGTGAAATGCTTCGGGTACCTGTGATGGACGTTTATGGCATGGAATTGGTGACTGTGCGCAGGGCAAATATCAAGGTTATGGCGAAGGAGTACCGGGCGTTTTTACATCGTTACGAGGGGTGGACCTTCCCTTACACTGCTCAGGGGTCATATGGACATTTACACCCCTGTGCGCAAGAAAAAAAAAAATTCAAAAATTTTTTTTCGTCTTCTAAACATGTTAATTTGAGTCTCCTGAGCACGGGAAAAATAATAAAAAAATTCTATTATACATACCAATGACACAATTGAGCCGAGAAGTTGGCCGATGACGTCACAGATTGTGAGCGCTCAAGGGTGCTGCGTCAGCCAGCTGTCACTCACGGCCGCTCGCGCGGCCCGAGTTGCCGCGAATTTATTTTCGCGGAATTATTTACAGTATTCTTGGGTCATTTTACTCCAATTTTTTTCGCTAGTATTGTTCCAATTATTAGCAATAGACGTTGTATTATAATAAAAATGGTATAAACTCACTAAGCGCTCACATATTAGTGTCACAAGTATTCCCACCAAAATGGTATAATTTACAGGAAATATTCAATGTATTTGGGTTTTTTTCAATATAAACACAAAAATAAACTTGATATGTACATTTATTTACCAAAGAATTACACATTTAGTACTCCAGGAGACTGTGATACTGTGCGAAACAGTCGATATGGCACAGAGGGACGGCACACGCTTCGCACCATGTCAACACCAATTTGCGTTTCTGTGGCCTCAATTTGGTACTGGAACACACAACACACCGACGCTGGCCTGCTGCACGAGCTCCAGTTGGTGGTAATTTCTTGATTTGATGTATCAGAAAGGCCTCCCTGTAAGCGAGCCTGGGTGCAGGAGCATGGTTCAGTATTGGGTCTCGAATGGGTCTTTGTATACCAGGTGTGTCCTTGCCAAATTTACCTAGCAACTGTTTCACAACTTGGAAACTGAACGAACGGAAATATGGTTTTCTACCTGTCTTCACAAGAAACATATTGTAACTGTTCAGCATTGTTACATCAATAAGGTGAAAAATCATTTTCTTTGTCCACTTCACTGTTTTACGTACACACTCTACAGCACCCACCATCATGTCACATTTATCAACTAAACGCATGTTGATGTTGTAGTCCATCACACAATCTGGCTTGTATATTATTTGCTTTGTTGTTCTGTTCACCTTGCCACTGTCTACCATTGTACCAGGGTGAATGGTGGTCAACATGTTCACTTCACGTCTGTCTTTCCACCGCACTGAAAGCATTGCACCACTTTTCCTTACCTCGCAGTCACCTACTTGCATAGCAGTATCAAACACAGGCATTTCCTTTCGTTTTGGCTTTACTGTTCCACACACTCCAGTCTTATTATCCAGCAAGAATTTCGTTAGCAAGGGACTGGTATAATAGTTATCTGTGTACAATATGTGGCCCTTGTTCAGATATGGTGCAAGCAGTGACTTCACCACACTACCTGAGAAGCCATGTTCGTCATTAGCAGGAATATCTATATTTGTGGCTGAATAAAGTATCATGTGTAACACCATTCCTGATTCACAGTCACAGAGCACAAAGAATTTCAGTCCAAATCGGTGACGTTTTGAGGGAATATACTGCTTGAAGGCAGCACGTCCTTTGAAAAGCACCAGGGATTCATCAATAACCAGCTTCTGAGCTGGTACGTAGTAATCTCGGAACTTTCCAATCAGGTCATTTAGCACGTGCCTCACCCTCCAAAGCCTATCATCCTGTGTCTCGTCAGCATTATTTGCAAAATGAATGCACCGTAGGATCAACAGAAATCTGTCTCGGGACATATATTTCCCGAACAATGGTGTTGGAACAGAGTTGTCTTTGCTCCAATAATCTGAAATTACGTGTTTCACACAATGTTTCATCAACATGCAAATTGCAAAAAACACATACATCTCATCAACAGTTGTCTCTTTCCAACGCTGTAGTCGCGAAAATTCTGAAACTTCCTCACCTTCGATGAGATCATCCGCAAGTCTGTTCGTTTCGTGAACAATGTGTTTCATTAGCGGCTCATCGAAATATGCAGTAAAGAAGTCCATTTCACACATTTCGTCACCAGTATCAGGGAAAAGATCAGTAATTCCCACATCTCTGTTATCAAAGTCGGGAATTTGTGGAACAAAATCTTCCCCATCACTCCACACACACAAACCTGCTGCCTTCCGAGAGCCATTAGCTGCACCACGGCGAGGAATCCGGGGACCAGGAGCTGAAGCACGCCTTGTAGCAGTAGGGGCAGGAACGGTAGATGAGGAAAAAGATGTGGAACATGAGGGAATTTGTTCCTCATTGTCGCCATATTGTCCCATGCGGCGGCGCTTGGCTGGGCGGGCAGCTGATGCGGCGAAACTTGTACTGGCACTGGGGGTAACACTATTCTCCAACTCTTCATCACTAAAGCCTGAGAAAGATTCACTTGTTTCAGACTCGTCAATCGTATCATAAACGTGCAGTGGTATAGATGAACGATGTGCTTGGGCGCGGGGTGGTGTTGAGTGGTGTTGAGTAGCAGCCTCGAGAGGCATCCTCACCCTCGTGGCACCCACATGTTCCCCCTCACTATCCGTTGTTTCGATTTCTTCTGGCTGGGTATAATCTTCATCTATATCTGAGTCGTCAATATCAGACTCATCAACGTCCTTGAACAATTCATCTGCAATTTCGTCTTCGGTCAAGGACTGCGCGGCGCGGAGCGCTGGGCGAGGTCGCACGCTGGGTCGTGATGCGCTCGCCATGGTGTCTGGCCACTAACTAAGGCCTGTGAAACAAAGGAGGCCTGCTCTGGATTTTTTTTCAAAATGGCGTCTGTTTACAATCGCCCCTGGCTACGGTATGGGTGACCCCTTTACACCGCGGGACGTTTGAATCGTGCCTGGCACGCTTTGGCGTATATATACGCCATGCGCACGGTGGGACATGTTACTCATGGCGTATATATACGCCATGCGCAGTTTAAGGGGGAGGTTGTTTCGTCACTGGTAGGGGTGCAAGGTACTATGCAGCTGTTCTTCACCTGCTATAGCAGCCAGCTCTGTTCTGCCTGGGTACGTTGTCCTCACACGGGGCTTTTCTTTTCTGCCTGGTGGAGGGTCTGCCCTTGGTGGTGTTGCCACTTGTATTTATATATTGTCTTCTTGGTGATCCTCTAATAGGTCTCCGTGTGTGTACACGTCCAGGGGGTTCAGTTCTTAGTTTTTGCTTTGAGTGCCGGTTAGCAATACATTGCCTGGGCTTCCCTTAGCAGAGCGTCTAAGAGCCCTGGAAAACTCATTGGGGCTCAGTGGTCCGATGGAAGCGTACCTTGGGTCCCCCTCTTGCTTTGTGCGAATTTGAAGGTTGCTCTGTCCTCTTGTCTCAGGGGTGACAATCACCTCTTTCGCCTCCGTAATGCTGCCTGTTGGGTTGGTGACACCTTCGACCCGGAGTGCTGCGAGTGGTATTGGTTGCATGTTCTCCAGATCACCCAGTCGACTGATATTGATCTTAGGGTGCTGGCAGCTTCAGCGTTGCACACACGTTATAGGTTGCTGCAGCGTGCTCGGTTGGTTGCTTACGTGGATGCCCTGAGACTGCCCCAGCCTCCGCGTCCTTCCCCTGCTGTTGTTCGTCCTGCCCCCCCTCCCACCCATCTGCTTCCGGCTCCAATGCATCCGAGGGTTTCCAAGTCGGGAGTGTTTAGTTGGTGATGAGACTGGCAGTTTCAGGGGATGCCCCATCCGGTGTGACGATGGAGGCATTCAAGCCCGTTCCCCAGCTGGTGCTTCTGGGTCTGACCAGTGAACCCAATTTGGTTCAGCTTTTCTGGCGGTTTCTGCCTTTTCTTTTGAGGCGGCGGGTTTGGAGGACGACTCAGACCCGGGTCCTGATGTGGAGGTTACCGGGGCAATAGAGGAGTTGACTTGGGGGGCTTGGGCCCCATTTGACCCCGTCTGTTTTTTTTTTACCCTCTGAGCGAGGCTTGTTGTTGCAGTGAGTAGGGTTTTCTTATCTTCCCCTCCTTGTATCA